CTAGATGGAGATAACGGTAGGTCATGATGATGTGAATTAATACGCAATGAGAGAACAGGATGTAATGCCCTAGTCTGTGGCACTTGTCTTTGTACGGCAGACCCCAAAAGTGGGGATTTACCCGGCTGAGATCTGTGCATCGCCTCAAGTGGCCGAGCAATAGGCGGGTGAGCCGTACTTTAGCATTTGTCTTATGATGGAGGAGCGCAGCCGAGAAGCAGCCTTTTCAGACCAGTTGTTGAGTGCCCAAGGCATGCGCATTCCGCTTCGGTGTAGTCTGTTCGTGTTCTTCACGGACTTTTCATCGCACCATGAGAGTAATCACAGGTACGTCACTCAAGATGTGGGTTATAGCACTTGGTCGTCAATGATGCACCTTATGCTGTCACCACCATTCCCCAGGCTCATGAATAACCACTTGGCTGGATTTATCTGTAGGATACATCTATAGAGGCGGTTGAGGTCATGTTGATGCATACTACAACCGTCTGTAATACGAATCACTCTTCACCTCTTCGAATCATCTATACACTTGGCACAGTGTAACCCAAGAAGCTTAGGTGAATCGTTGATGTCGGTTAGCAACAGAGTGAGTCCCAGCACCGTGCCTTGGGGTATGCCACTTTTCGATTGATACCAGTTACTTAGGTGAGAGTTGACTTTCGTCCAATGACAAACTCTCGCATCCACCAGTTAAGTGAGCTATCAACACAACACACGCAACTTGTGGAAGAGGACCTCATAGTTTACCTGGTGGAACGCTGGATGAAATGGATGTAGTTCATGTTGGCAGACGTTTCCCGGTGCACTGGCTGTAAACAATCATGCCCCGTTACTGGCAGGTTGCTAATGCATGAAAGTAATGTGTGGGCATCAGCAGACCTCTTGAGCGGAACTTATATTTCTAACTCTTCTTCACCGTCACGTTAGCGGCCTAGACCAAAACACGCAATAGACAAATTGCCGTGTAGTTGTCTACCTTGTTGGGATCAATGCATTTCGAAACTGGCCTTACCACCGTGCATTTCTAAGCAAACTACAAATGAATTTTTGATTAGTGGCTCGTTAGACAGTTCAGTCACGGAAAACGATGATGGACGACAAAGATTTGAGAATCTGTGATTGGTCCGTCAAGCCCAACAGGCTTGACACGGTCATCGTTGGTGGGCAGTTAAGGTACCACTTCAATTTCATCCTTCAGACGACAGAGTTCCTTAAAGTTGGTACAGATCAAATTAGGTACAAACACCTGGTCAATTGAAGACTCAGAAGCGGCGTGCACCGCCAACACGGACGCACGCTCAGTAATGGAGTTTAGGGTTGACCGTCTGACCCCTCTATCACTGGTAGGTCACCTACAAGCTTCAGGCGCCGCTTCATATACGCAAAGATTCTCTTCGAGTTTGTCTTCATGATGGTACTTGCGCGCACTTTGGAATACTGGCGCTTGCTCATTTCCACAGAGTTTGAAAGATATCACTAGCTTTTCAATGCAACTTTGACTTTCACTGGTGCAGTGCGAAGGAATTTGTCCCACAATCCACGCCGGCGCCGAGTCAGTTTACCAAATTCCTCATTGAACCAATGTGGCTTGACTGGGTTCGAACTTCAGACACTTGAGAGATCCAACCGGCTAATCAATTAGTTTAGTTCCTTCTTTGTAACTGACCAGTAAGTTTCAACAGACGCAGTTTGCGACAGAGAACAACAGACTTGCTAAGCGGCTCGAATCAGACAGTCAAAATCCGTTTTCTATTATTTGTGAGCTGGCTTCAGGGCATGGGAGTGTTATAGCGACAGCTTTATGTTGGCAATGAGTATTGAGTTGTCGCGTGCTGTCAGGGACTCCAGGATCTGAACGTTATGTTGTTTACAGCTTGTTGATCTCCAGCCTAATCATGGCGGGTTTGGTCCCGATGTCATACGCGTCGGTTAACAGCTGTGTTGCACTGCCCCAGTTTTCATTAACATGACCACGAAATTTGCTACAACCACACAATATCCAGGGAATAAATTAAAATTCAGGCCAGCATATTCGCGAAATGAGAATGGAATCTACTCATATGGCTTCAGAAATGTGGCAGCTAACCCGAGCAGCGGCCCAGCGGACAGCAATAAAATGCACCTAAGAACAGTTTGATGCAGAAGACGTGGATCGAGCACCACAGATGATCACGTAGGCCATAGTCATTTCGGTAGGCGCTCACACATCTCTCACACAGATTGGACCAGCTGCATAGCAATATGTCACCATAGACAACCTAAAGCCCATCAACGTGAAAGCACGAGTAGTCACGAAGCTTAAGTTCTTGGGTGATTACCTCATCATCCAACCTAGTCCATGCGAGTCCACTGCACATTGTCACTCAGAAGTAACGACACTGCACTGCTCATCACGCCTATTCATAGGAATGCAGACTTAGGGAAGGTTATACGCAGGCTTGGTAGCAACTACCCTGCATGCTTGGGGAATGAACGACCGATTTATCCGAACAGCGTTCATGTTGTAACCAACAGAATATTTCCAATACTTAGATCAACTTTTCCACCACTGGTTCACTGCTTTAAATCAAATGGTGGCAAACTTTAGAGGCCCCTGCTCAGTTCAATCTATCTCCAGACGAACATACACCTTTTCGCGGTTCAACCTAATCATCCGAGAGATTAGTAACATCGGGTTTGCGCCATCAGTAAAGTTACTCGCACAGTTCGGTCCTGTGCAGCAGTGCTTTTGCAGTATTACCTGCTTATGCTCACTGTCACTCATTCTTCACTCCCCATGCCATTCATATTAAGCATGGCCTGTTTGAAACGGCACAGGAAAATGTAACAGAACGGCAAAGACTCAATGTGATTGCCGGCATCCGGTTTCAAATTTGCCTGTCACTGTGACCAGCCACAGGACCCCTGCGCCTACAGAGGGACCATGGGTGGCTTTCACTGCACCACCCACAGCTCCAAGCACACACCCCATATCCAGTGTAAACCCGAAGAAATAAGACCGGGAGGCATGCGGATGGAAGCCACGTTTCATCGACGGAGCCGGCCCACACTCCTTCACAAGCAAACACAAGCACGCTCTATTTGGGGAATCAACCGCACACAAGGCGGTGGCTGGACCGTAGTCCATTCCACACTGAGTGCATGGAACGACTCTTTGATCCTAACACGGCCACAAGGACCGTTCACCCCGTCCAATCCAGCAACGACCAACTGTCTCTAGAGTCAGTATGAACGAGATAATGGGTAATAGACAGGTAGGCACCTTGTCAACATGACCATCAAGCGCAGCCACACCGAGGATATGAAGCAACAGCCAATCAATGTACCAACTTATAGACTGACATGGCGCACTGAATAGTGATGACACACTAGTTTTTCTACTTGATCAGGTACGTACTTAACAAATCAATTCAGATTCGCAATCGTACGGACATATCGGTTTACCTAAGCTGATGGGAATGTTTAACACTTCACTTATTTGTTTAGTTGCGACAGATCAATGGGACAGGAGTAATGATAATGGCTTGTGTGTAGAAATACTATCTGGTAACATGTAGTGAGGACTAAACATACGCTATATCTGCAGAGACTGAGTATCAAAGCATAATATTTAACTGATAAATCGTGCTTTATGCATTCATATTGAGCATTTCATGATGTACCCCAGTATATCGTTTGATAGAATTCGTAAAGACTTGCTATATATAAGGAAAGTGAAAAGTAAGGAAGAAGAAACAATCTCCAGGAAAGAACAAAGTTGGTCCACAAACCGTCTGAACATCCCAGGGGACGTTTTCGGCTGCTGCCAGTTAAAGCACACCACGCTAGCCGCGTTCTGAATGTGAAACTGCCCATTTACCACGGTTTATTTGACAAAACCCTTTCACTGCGTTTCTTTTGGAAAGAGCATTTTCACTCCCTAAATCAAGTGAGAACTAAACTGGATATGCGTTCTCAATCATTTAAACGAATTTTGGGACCATTTTAAATGGTTCACGTTTACTAAACCATCTGATTACAACCATTTTCGTTTTGAAACACATCTGTGGTTTGAGCGGAATCAGTTTTAATCCGAAACTGTGCTGGAAAATCGGTTTACCCAAGATAAAGCTAGTTGAACGATAGATCCTTAGCTGTCCCTGAGACCGGCAATTTTGCACATATGTGCGAGGTGGCACCATTTCAGCCACTGTGATTTTCCTATTGCACAAAATTGTACCTATACTTTTGGTCTTACAGAGATTACACACAAAGATCGTACCGAGGATAAATTTGCATAACTATTGTAGTTGTCAGAAATGCCTTTGAACCTCTATAACTGATGGGCTCGGAGTTCATTTGCATCAAGCTGGAAGAAAGAGAGCGGTAGATACACAGTGGTCTAAGAGATGTGGTAGCCTAAAAGTTAGCACATACCCTGCAGAGCAAGCTCTTCACAGCACAATCAGAGCGTCTTGATTTTGAAATGTTGCAGGTATTACGAATTTGTAACTCATGCGGTAATGCTACGGCCACTTCTAGATTTAACAACAACTAACGACTCCCTGAGCCGAAATAAGGTGGCAGGGTGTCTTGACTGAATGGTTCTATAGTAGAGTGGCGTGCATGTGTGGAATTTCCTTCTACAGCATATTTATCTACGTTAATAATCAAGGTCAAGACCTATTTGATGCACTATGCTTTCAGATGACCGATTTGGCATTAGATGAAAGAATCACAAACCCATGAGCTCATTCATATACATTTTTGACAAAAGTATGCGCATTTTAATAGCTTTTTTCGACCATTTAAAATCGTTAGATTTCTCCCTGGCAGTAAAATCAATCATCAAGATTGTGGGGTCGGTGCGTGATAAGAGATTAATCTATATTGCTGTCTCAATATTGGGCTGATGTGTATATGTTGGGCACGCCAGAGCAGAGAAAGCTGACGTTTATACTAGAGCGCACACTATTTGTCTTACTCCACGACTGAAGAGTAGAAAGCTCAATATATTTCGGGAATAACTCCGTTATCAAATCTGACGAGTAACATATAATCAACGTTGACAGATTTACATGGAATTTCAATGCTTTAAATAATGAATGGTACAAACTGGGAGAAAGAATTGCAGCCGCGTTGCCTACTTAGAGGAACCAGCAACTAAGGGAGTGGAAAATCGTGGCGCTACACGAAATGTTCAAGAATGTATGATGTCTGTATTGCTTCCGACAGCTTCCGACGCTAGTCCGTACGGTGAACCAACACGTCTTGCCAAGATTCACATAATCGTATACACTTGGGAAAAGATCGCTACTACGATTGAAAAAAAATTGTTGCTTATGTTACATAATCGCAGATTGCGGAAGTGGAATAATTTCTGAATTCCTTAAAGTAATTAGTGGAAAATATGTAAAGTTTGCTTTGGCTGATATGCTTGTTCTTTATGCGTAGTTTTCCAGCATATAACGATTTTCCCCTTTAAAGTAAATCGCTTATAATGAAAAATGTTGGCTCACCTCTGACTCAATTTATTCATATTAGGCGCGCGCTAATCCATCGTATCAGTCTCTAATTACGTACCGTCTCAAACGGAAAACACTGACTAATGAAACCCACTTTTAGCTGAATTTCGAATAATGGAAAACAGTTTCTAAGATCTCGTGCTACTGTTACTGTTGCCATGGCCACAGATAACAATTTTTCGACTCACCAATTGGCACGAAGATCGATCTCGAGAGGAATGGGAATGAGAGAAGAAATATGGTCCGCTCTACATCGACGTTGTAAATTTGCTGATAAAAAGATTGCATACAAACCGAAGATATTTGAAAGGTCCAGTCGTCCGCAGCGTAAGTTAAAAGGATTGCAAAAATAGGCCTTGAGCGAAGAATTGCATGCCATGGAATAATGGTATGCCCTTGAGAATTCAGTACACGGTTGGAGATGTTTGCTTGCAAATAAGCCCTTTCCGTTTTGCTTAATTTTTCATCTTTGTTCGGTTTTTCATCGATTAATCGCCACCAAAATATGCACCAAACAAGTCCCAAGTTTGCATAAATATAAAACACTACACCCCAGCCCCACTTCTTTTCTATCTCGGCACATACGGGAAGTCCAATCAATGGCCCTAAGGAGACCCCAATGACAGCCAGGCAAACAAGTGTAGAACGTTCAGCTTCTGGTCCCCAAAACCGCAAGATGCCAAAAACGGCGGGAATTAAACATCCCTCCGCCAAACCTTGTATCAGACGCAGTAAAATCACAACTATAAACTTTGCGTTCACATCATTTCCTATCGTTTCTACTAACGGTAGAAACAAATTCATGCCACATGTCATAGCAACTGAACAACCCAGTAAAAACGACGAATCATGATTGACCGTCAGGTATCCTCCAATGGGGCTGGTGATCAAATATGCAAAGAATATTGCGTTCTCAACGACGTCGTTCTTTATTGCTGTAGTCCATGGCATTTGTCTGTGCTCCGATGGTTTGAAGATTAGCGATGTCATATGCCTTCTACTGTCGCTGATTACCTCGGGGGAATGGTGGACCCCATCTATGTCCAACGATGGGTGCATCCCTGAGTCGTGAGATGAAAGATAAATCGCGGTATTTCCCACTGGAGCTCCTCGCTCAAATGATGACCTCCTTGTGGTTGCACTCAGAGGAGTGGTATTGTTTAAGTTTGTCATTATTCCTAACATCTCTGATCGCATGCCTATCACAATTGTTAGACAAGTACAGCACAAGAAAGCAATAAAGTAACGCTTTCTTCCGGGTCCACAGAAGCACATATCTTTTGATTCTACCCTTGCACTTCTCGTTCTCTGACTTTTAGCGGAAGCATTCGGTGTGCTAGACGGCCACGAGGGGTTGATGGAATGGCATACGGAGTTTAGCTGACCTTGCGATGTTTGCCGGACCATGCCCCATAATTGTCCAATTGCATGTGTTCCAGAAGGTTCGTTACTTGTCAGCCCCTTGAGTTGCCCCATAAGCAGACAGCGGTCAGTGATGGAATTTCCTTCTCCAGTATGGAATCCGGTAACTGAATGACCGCAAGAACTGGTTAATGAGTCACTAGTGGAAGAACTTATGATACTGTCTGGACTGAATTTGTCACCCAGAACATGCTCTGAAGGCACTGCAGCAACCCGATCCATTATGTCCGTCCACAATTACAAAGCGCAGATGTTAAAAGGTGTCCCAGTGCATTGCAAATATATGAAAGCTGTGTAACACTTGCACATATACTACACCCGTCTCAATTTTCTTCTGAATAAGTGTTGTCTGTCTTGATTGGCCAGTGAGCCATAGAGTTACCCATTATGCCATTGGTTCTTCTCACTAAATGTGTGTCAGCCTTTCACGCCTTCTGCTGTTTGTGTGTGTGAGTCCAGTTTTCGATCCGTTATAAACTGACCTGAAATTAGGGCTAAAATGGTAGGTGATTTGGAATGCTTTTCAAAAAGCCGAGTAATTCAGCTCGCTCAGAAGACCGTCAAACAACATGCGGATAAAACAGCTAAGTTTAGTAAAATTAACTCTAACCATAACTAGGTTACGTCGCGCAATTCATATACGAAAGCAAATTTAACCTGGAAAATGTAGTAATTGGAGTAAGCCAGAAGTTCTGTTATTCTCCAGTTACCATCTCGAGTAGATACGTTCATTTTCCATATACGCTTAAAGACTATGCGTAAGGTCCCAATAGCCATAAACAAAATTCCAAAAACTGGAGGAATTCGAGGCATTCGAAAGAAAATTACTGAAAATGAATATTTGTTTGCCTCATGATTAAATAAGTTTCGTTCATGGGTCTTCTTATCATCTGTCAGAATCCATCGAGATCAGTCAATGGAGTTAATCAGCGTGCAGTGTTTAGCGCAAAGTCATCCCCTTCGATTTACAGAATTTACGAGATTTCTGGTGACTAATTTTCTGGTAAATTACCATATTAGCCGCAGTGTGGATTATCTCGTGTAAAATCACGTGTCCAACTCAAAACGGTGAGACTGATAAGCGCGAAACACTTTGGACCACTACTCTTTTTCTTATCGTTTCTCTTCCACTAGCTGTGCTCGTGTGTACGGTGTCTGCACCTAGGACATGTAACGGATATGTAATGAGGCAGTCGTTTCATGCGCGTCAAAAAACTATAGCTTTACTGGTCCCATGGTGAAAGTTCAAAGTATAGAACTGTCAACAAAAATAGGTTCCCACTGATGGACACACTCCAGTATACTTAGCATAAACTGTAAATTCAATGTAATCCACAAGGACTGACGAAAATGAGATGTTGGTAACAAATCTAATCATCATCATCATTATACACGTTAGCTACATGTCGGAAACACCTCAGCTACTGTACGGAAAAACATAAAGGAAAAGGAAAATAAGTGCAACGGTTGCATGCCAGCTGAGTTACCAGTAACGGATGGGCATCGTTCCGGTAAGCCACCAGCTGGCAATAGGCAAGAAGAAAAATTACTTATGTTTTACCCTGCGAAATGAGATCGTAGATGGAGGGGGAGGCTAAAAGAATGGAGAAAGACGAAGAAAATCACAGCACAAACGCCACTGAGGTCGGCTCCTTGCCATGTCAGCAAGTGTATCCAGCCAAACGCGTTCATCGTCTTTTGGACCCCAACCAGAGAGCCGAGACGCTCCAACCGAGGCCAGCTCCGAAGTGTGGGCCTTCATTTCTCTGGACCAAGTCATCGCTCGGCCACCCTTCCTCTTATTCCATCCATATCCCCGTTGAGCAAACAACGCACGTCGCGCGAGTCGGTGGGCTGGCAGGCGCAACACGTGGCCCAGCCATCGGAGCCTGGTACGTGAAACGACTGTGTTGAGCGGTTCATTTACTTTTTCTGTGCCGTAAACAAGGTGTCGAACACGCTCGTTACTCACGCGGTGTTTCCACCAGATGTGAGCCAAACTGCGAATGCACCGGTGCTCGAAGTTAACTAGCATCTTTACGTCCGTTGATCTAAGGGGCCAGGTTTCACAACCGTACGGTAAGGTCGAACGTACCTCTGCATTGTAAACTCTACCCTTCAGGGCGAGAGCAGAGTCGCGCCGCCGCCATAGGTGGCGAAGGTTAGTAAAAACACTTGGAGCGGATACTCCAAGCCCAACTTTGCATTCGTTTCCGCTGGACCAAGCGTTGCTCGTGGCTCTCAGGGTCATAGTGCTTATGACGTTAACCATGAGCCACTGGGCTCTGAGTTCCAGCCCAACTCAGGCTATCTCCAACTGATGAGTCCTAACCAGGACGAAACCGCGGTCTTGGGGTGCCAGTGTTAGGATGAGCAACACTATAATGTTTCCACTTGGAGCTTTTGTTATCCGGTTCGTTATCTCGCCTCTGATCCCAAGGGCGCTGATACAACTTCCCAAGTAATTGAATTTCCGAACGACTATCTGATCCCCAGCAAGGTTCAGCGAAGGAGGCCATCCCTGACAATCTTGGAGGAACGCTTTACATTTCGATGGTACAAAGCAAAGCCCGAAGCGGCTGACAGTCAGTGCTAATCTGTCCAGCGCCGCTTGGCACGTCTGGGAACTGTCAAGGATGAGGGCAATGTCCTCTGCATAATCTAAGGCAAGAAGCCGTTCTTCTGGGAGTAGCTCCATACCTTCCAGATCAACTTTGTCAATAGCGAAGTTCAAGCAGAGTGGTGACAGTTGGCATCCTTGTCTCATAAAGCTGGAGATTTTGAAGGGTGGCGACATCTTGCCGTTAGCCCTCACTCTGCCTGAGCTACCCGCGTATAATTCTCAGATAATATTTACGTATTTCTCGAGCACATCTTTCCTGAGTAGACAATTCCAAAGAGCACATCCATCAAATGAATCGAAGGTACCTTCGATGTCGAGAAACACGACTACGGTGGGCCGCCAATAAATGTGGTGATGCTCCAACAACTGACGCAAAGTGAAGGTGTGGTCGACGCAGCCACGACCCCGACGAAACCCAGTTTGCTCCTCACGAATCTGGCTATTCCGAGCGCGTCAGTCTGTGATGGATTATGGAGGTAAGTAATTTGGAGGCGAAGTAGACCAGACTGCTTCCTCTATGGTTGCCGCATTCCGAAAGCGAGCCTCCTTTGAAGATGGGAACAATAACGGGGCGGCTCCAAACGGTTGGAACAGTTTCCTGCTTCCACAGTTTTACTAGTAACTCGTGTAAGTCTTCCACAACAGCAGTTCCCCCGAATTTAAAGAGGGCTGGATAAAGCTCATCAGCTCACGCGGCTTTATTTAACGTCGACAGTTCGATCTGACGTTCGACTTATGCGCGTGATGGTGCATCCAAAGGGACAGCCCACGGAGCGGAGCAATCAATGGCTGGCAAGAAATCTAACCATTCCGACCGATTGAATTGCGTTTCAAAGTGCCCAGCCCAACGCTTCAAACGTTTTGACAAATTGTGGATAGGCTGTCCACTCTCATTACGTATAAGTTCACTAACACTAGGTCTCCTGCTGCCTGTTTCCCGTATCAGACGGAATAACTTGCGATGGTTACCAAGGGCAACGGCCATTTCCATCTCTGATGAACGGTGATACCACCAGGACTCTCGGTCTCTCTTCAGGCTAGCACGGTGATTTGCCCGGAGCTCTTTGCAAGTTTCATTGTGTTCGCTTCCAGCCGGAATATACCGGCGAGCATCTATAAGTTCCAGAGACTGTGAAGAGACCCAAAGTTCATATTGGCGATTAGACATACCACATGAGGATTTGCCTGCTGCTAGCAAGGACTGGTGAATATGAGACCAGTGGGCTTCAACTGCATCCAGTGAGCGTTTATCCAACTCACATGACAGCGTACTTTGATAGGCATTCAGAACAGCTGGCTTCGTCAGTTGGCTGGTGTCAATGCGCTCACAGCGTCGTCGTGGGCTTCCGCCAAAGCGCATCCGCAAATCAGCACCTACAAGTGCATGGTCGGTGTCCACGCATATGCTCCAAATCGAGCGACAGTTTTGGATGCAGCCACTCCAGCGGTAACTGATTGTAATGTGATCGAGCTGCGTCCAAGGCTGGTTCGAGGCTGGTCGGCGCCCAGTCCCCCTCCGGCGAGTGCTGTGTCGAAAGTTAGTGGTCGCAAGAAATAAGCGGGTATCTTCACACAAATGAAGCAACCGCTCACCGTTATCATTACGGGAGCCTACACCATGCTGAACGCCCAGATGCATTTCAACAGTAGACAACTTTCCAACTTGTGCGTTCAGATCCCCCGCCAGCACAACAGTGTTCGTGCTTCTTCTGTGGCGAAGGAGCTGGGTCAGTTGGCGGTAAAAGTCGTTCTTTACCAAATCATCGCTGCAGTTTGTGGGCACTTAGGTAGCGATAATGAATAGACACCTATTAGTCCTGCGCCGCTTCGAAGCTTTGAACGAGCCAGCCAATCGGACCGTACACATCCGGAATCCAATCAACCAGAGCAGCGTCAGCCCGGAGACTCAGTGCAATGCCAACACCAGCTTGGCTGGCGCTCAAAGCTGCATTGTCACCGGATAGGCGCAATGAGAAAATACTGCTTTCGTCACCTGAATGGGATCGCAGAGTGAGCACAGAGTTCGAGTCTTGCAGGTGGAACTCCGATAAGCAGCAGTTATCGATCGAGAATGTTTTTTAATGTTCGGGCAAGTGCTGCCTCTTGACCGATCTGTAACAATGTCTATACATTGGGGCATTCCAGTCTGAAGGAGGATCGAGGGCTCCAAATAGAAGCTGATGAACTGGATTGGACCACTTGGTTGGACATGGGCTTGTCGACAGGAGAGGAGTGACGTTCCGGGTTAGTGTAAGTTGAAATTAGAAGATAAATGCCTAGCAAAGCATGTTTGCGGAGAGCCAAGAATCGGGAGCGGTTGAAAACTGGGAGGATAAATTGAAGTTGGAACGGGACGGTAAGAGTGAAAAAGCGTAAGAGGAGGAATAAGAAGACGGAAAGTCTTGAGCAGTAGCATCCAAAACACTGTCCACCCTGCTCGCTGCAGCAGATAGGGCACCGTTTATTATCCTCTGCGGTGGCCAGAGCATCAGAAATTTGTTTGAAGAGGGATTCATCGTATTGCATGGGCAGGATACTGTCAGGTGGTCCAGGCCTGGACAGGAGAAGGATTAGGGTTCTCAACCAAAGCCTTTGGTTCAAAAACCTTACCGCATGGCAGCACGTTTGGAGTTGGGATACAAGGATTATGTTTTAAGGAATAAGGTGCCACCCTCATTCCAACTCCCAACCTGGAGGACCAGGTGGCTGAGTTTGTCTGGCCTCTAACCATTGGCCAATCTGGTATGAGAGACTCCGAAGGTGCAAAAGCATCACCCAGCATGGCTCAATGGATGGCTGACGCACACAAATCATCGCACCACTCTAAAGTCCAGCCTCATTGCGATGGAACAAATCTTTTCGAATCCTGGTGACTACCTAAGGGAAGTGGAAATGGTGCAACGTATACTGCGATTTGACCGAACCCCTTGGTTTATCCGTGGTCGATGAGCCATATAAGATGGCACAGTGAAATAAGTGCCCTGTCAACCCTGTCAGCGTGGAAGCACAGATGACAGATTCCGCTGGGGCATTCCACCTAAGACAAACGAATGAGGAAATAAATTCCGATAGTATTCTAAACGACTGTACTGCTCTAGGTGCTTGAGATGGTGGCCTCTTTATCCACTGTTTCGACTGAGCTTTAGTAACTGATGGCACTTGGGGTTTGGATTTCTCAAAATCTGGTAAGCCAAAATGAGTGCACAGCGCAATCGACGAGACTATCCGCTGAAGGACCCCGAACAATTGAAGCCTACGTTCATACGGCAAATTATACAATCCATTGACATTTTTGGTTGCATGGCGTTGGGGTATCTCCATGGCGGTGAGATCTTCCTTCAGCCATGGCTGCCAGACCTGTGTTGAGTACTCCACACGTGGACGTATGTATGATCCGAAGCTGTTCAGTATGTTAGCATATTTATTGCCACATTTTTTGCAGTTACAATCCGTTTACACATACAGAAGGTAGTGGGTGATTCGTACTAAACCCTCAACTTCCCCAACAACGTTGAATTATCTCATAG